TAGCTCACAGTCTGGAGGATAGTCTAAGATCAGGCAGCCTCATTGATTTGACTCTGTGAGGGTCCACTTGGCTGGGTCATGTCTTAGTGGATGGCAGCTTGTTGGAAGCATGGGGGAAAGGAAGAGAACACACAGTAACCAGGAAGCCAGAGAGAGCCTTCCTCCTTGTGCAGGGAGGCTGGGACTCAAGTTCAGAGACTTGGGCATGCTAAGCACACGCTCTGCCACTGAGCTACACCCCCAGCCCTCTCATTTTTATACCAACCCCTTCCTGGGAACTGAGGGAGAGAGGGTACTTCAAGACCTGTCTGACTTCTGAGGGCAGTGTCTTCGTAACCTAATTGCCTTCACTTGATTTTCAAAGGTTGGGCCACTTCCCGTAGCACCACCTTGCAAGTGGCCAGTTTGCTGTCATCATGTGCAGACTTGAGGGAGAATAGCATCAAAGGGTACATTGCCAAGGGTAGCAATGATAGCAGATATAGAAGTCGTTCTGGGGACCAAGCTCAACACAGGAGTCTTTGGGGGATGAACCACATTCAGACCAAAGCAACAGTATTTTCCTGAATCCTCAGTAGCAGTCAAAAGGAAGAATGACATGTGTCACAGGATTATGAAGTGTGTTTTGCAGAGTCAATGTGTCTTTTTTGCTGTATGGGTGGATATTATGGCTCTAATTTTAGTGCCTTTAAAAAAAAAAAAATAACAAGAGCTTTTGGTTTTACATCAAAACTTGGCAGTGCTTTTTGACACCCTCACAGTTTTGAAGGGCAAAAACAGTACTTTTTAAGGAAAGGGGTGACATGTAAGTATTTCTTCAAAACACCCCCATCTCCACAAATTCCTAAACGTTGCAGTGAGGTGCTGTGCTTCCCAAGGTAGTGAAAACTGAAGATCATGGAGCAGTGCAAAATAAAATAAATCAAGAGGTTTACTGTCTTATATATAAGGCAGCAGATATGCCATAGATCATAAGTGAATATAAATCTTTAGTATTGTATTTTCATGAGGAGATGGGTAGGGAAAAAAACTGGGTGGGGGGAGGGAGTCAGGTTGTGAAGTACACATACATAGCACATGAATCATTACTTTTCAATACTTCAGTGACAAAGCTGGAACTAGAGTTAATTGTCCTCCTCCAGGGATGTCATTAGAATGTAAACTGTTACATGCTACCATTGGCTCACATGGTAAATAGTAATTCTTTTTATTCTTTCCTCTCTGGAGAATTTATTGTGGTAAGTCATGAGAACAGTGCTTTAAAATCCAATGGAAAAGGTTAGGAGTGGGTAATAGCTTTTGGCCCTGGCAATTAAATAGCCAAAAGACACTTGACATTCACAGCAGCTTTGGCTGAATGCTCTATAAGAAGTAGGGCATGGGCATGGGTCAAGCCTAAAATGTCACAGAAATTTGAATGTTTTGTCCTGACTTAGGGGCCTTTGTAGTTCAAAAGGAGAGCAAAGGCAGATGGCCACCTGGAAAGTAAACCTTCCCCTTTCTTCATCCGGGACCCTGGACCTCCTCAACCTTCTACCTTCTTCACCGGGGCTCTGGTAACTCCTCTGAAGTGAAGGAAGGCCTGAGGTCTTTCACTGACAGCTTTTCTAATGTGGTGACTATGATTATTCACTTACCTCATTTAATTCTTTCTTTTTCTCTTCAGCAAATGCAGATATTTTGAAAGCCATGGTAGCTGATAACAGCATCGGCGAAGTTGAAAGGTGAGTGTCTCTTTTCCTACAGATGGAGACAAGTTTTCATTTGTTCAGATTGCCGCCATTGGTATTCTGTGAAGCTAGAGCTGAGTGCTATTGACATTTGAGGTCGGACAAGTCTTTGCTGAGAGTAATGGCTGGATTGTTGCACAGAGTCCTTCATCTCTGCTCACTGGGTGACAGAGTACTCACTACCTCTCCTTTAACCTAAAATGTGTCCACACATTGTCAGTATTCCTTGGGGGGCCATCACCCTGTGATTGGAGCTCACGGGAATAGGGTCCAGAACCACTTATTGTCGAGGGTGAGAGCCAGGGATTGGAAGATAAAGAAGATAGAAAGCTGGGACCAGGAGCTCTTGTGTGAGCTGATGGCTTATGCCAAGCAAGTTTATTAAGAAGTACAGCGTCTTATTTGCAGTTTTCATGGAGAAATGGGGTACAGACAATGGAAAGCTGTCATACAATGTGGTGACATCAACAGGAAGCCAATCAAGGGGAACACAGGATATCCAAGTGCTCCACAGACTGAGCACATAGTGGCCATGGGATTTGATAACCATAGCCCCCTAGGGTAGGAAGAGTTGAGGTCTCAGGATGAAGTTGAAGCTCCTCCAAGGCTCTGCCTCCAGGCCTTTGCTGGCTCTGCTAAGCATATTCCTAATTTTACACAAGGAGCCATATTCCTTCTCCATATATCAGGGCGCAGAGAAAGCCTTGGATCAGCCTGGGTCCCAAACACCCTGGCTAACAGTGAAAGCATAGGTTCAGATCTGTAGAGTGGTTGTGTCCTGCGCTAGTGTGTAGTGACTACCTGTTGATGGGCAAGTTAACTGAACTTTATGAGCTCCAGATCCATTGTCTACATACCACTGTGCCAATTCCACTGGATTATTACCAGGAATATAGAGTACTTCAGGTCCTAAAAGGCCTTTATGAGCACCAATAGCTAAACGATAATCTGGTCGGTTTAGAATACCTGCTACTATCTGATTTCAAATTACCAGTTATGCGTCACAGTTTTTTAACTATCAGATTCCATTGTAATTACCTATAGATAGTATATGTCTAGACAGTTCTCCATTTCACTAATCGGGAGCATTGATTGGGTGCAGGATACAGTGTGCTACAGAGCAGGGCAGTCAGGTCTTTGCTCTGAAGGGATTCAGCCAGTGGGACATAGAGATGGGTGTGCAAGGCCTTATGAGAGGTATAGGCTGGAAACTGTTTGCCACTCACAGTAGAGCAGTACAGCTCATGACCTGACTTAATAACAGTCTGCCTTCATTTAAGAGGAGGAGTCATGGGCATTGATGACTGTAGGAACAGAGTCATGAGCATTATGAATGCAGGGACAGTCATGGGTATTGATGACTGCAGGGTATGAGAGCCTGAGGCCATTTGGACGAAACATGTTCTGTTTACTCTCTGAAAATGTGCTGAGAATTCTCAGCTCAGGTCCATACTGCATTTCCCAGGACTCAGAATCCACCCCCCTCTTAACTGCTGGACGTGATAGGTATTTAATCATTACAGGCTGGTTTTCAGAGTGTTTGCTTAAGACTCTTGTAGTTTGACAGGACAGAGTCTCTACTTCCCAGATGCCTCCTCCTTGTGACCTCCTTTTGGACAAATGAGGAAATTTTTATTTTAGATCATTTAAAGAAGATTAGGACCATAACTATATAAATGTTATTGAAGACAGATTTGATGATGCTGTTCTAGAAGAGCAGACAGTAGACTGCCTTAATGTTTCTCCATGAGATTCTCTTCTGTAACTTGTTTAATTTTTTTTCATCACTCTCGAGTAAAAATTAACTTAAATTTGGCTTTGAAAAGCAGAAACAACTTAGTGGAGCCACCAGTGGCTCCTCTGCCTGGCAGGTGTGTATTTACTCGAGGTGGTTATGCTGTGACCATCTTGGTTATGCCCATCTGCGTTGTAAACCACTTTTCCTGTCCCCCAGGGTTCTGTGGCTAATGCCCATGTCACCGCTAGAAACCACAGCTCTCACGCTAAGTGTTTTCTAATGTGCTTTCACATGCTCTGTAAGTAAACTGTCAGAGGTGGTTGCACAGGGGTCTGCACCCCTCTTGCCCCGAGAGTGTTTGTTGCTGTTCTTCCTTTGTGCTGAGTTTATTTGCTGTCCTCCAGGAGGTGATTTTTTATTTACCTATAATCCCTTATGCTTATTGGAGAAGCAAAGCCCATCACATCTCCCCTTTCCCTCCTCAGGTTTAGGGTTACAAAAGTGGAGCACAAGTCCAACCAGAAGGAGCGGAGAAGTTTGATGTCTGTAGGTGGGACTGAGAGTGTCAACGGGGATGTGCCTGTGACGCCTGTGAAGAGAGACCGAAGTGGCACGGAGTAGCAGGTGAGCTGTGGGCTGGGGGACAGGCTTGGGGACACTGGGGCTGGGAGAGGAGGGAGAAGGTACAGAGCCCTTCTGTGGTCTGTGGTCACATGGGAATGACCTTAGGGAGGGGAATTAGAGGACTTCCCTGAAACTGATATGACTGTAGGGCACCGAGTCCTCAGGATTACTTGTCTGGGCCCCTTTAAAGAGGCTTGGAGCATTGCAGAATGGTGGAGACTG